CATTAAGACAGCGGCTTCTGCCTACTCAGATCTCCCTCACTCCTCTCTGGTCTTGTTTCGTTCCTGTAGCAGCCACAGAGCTCACTCACAGAGATCCAGAGACTTGCTGTTAATGATTTGTCACTTGTTTAGAACACCTCGGGATGGCAGGTCTGCATAATCTGCCCTCAGTGGCACTGCCAGGTTGCATTAGGAAACAATTACCTAGTTTATGACTAGTAATGTAGGCGCCAGGATTTCCAATTAAATTCACATGTTTCCAAAAGGAGCTGGATGTCCCTATTTTGGAGAGAAAGGAACAGATGCTACCATGGAGGACAGTACTCTTCACTCCTGCTTCAGAAAAAGCCATATATGAATCAGGGCCCTCTAGATTAATAGACTGAGGGCGATGGAACATAGAGAACAGTTTTATGTGAATTCAGTCATTGCCATTTATTAGGTTCTCACCATCTGTTAGGATCTTGGTAAAATGAAGCAGCGGACACACTTGCATATATGTTTTATAGTATAAAACAAAAAAAGAGGTTAAAGTGCAGCTTTATCACTCCAGTCACTGCCTTCTTCTTTCTGTGTATGTGCAGGAAGGAGAGAACTGGAGAATAAAATGAAGGATTATGAATTTATTCCTTCTTCTCTATACGTTGAATAAATGCTAGATTATGCAGGTTTTGTCAAGACTAAAAGATTTTACTATTAAAGGTATCTATTAATGAGTGACTAACATCAATGATAATACTAAAAGCATGTACAAACTGATTAACTTAAAATGATACTATGCTGAACAGATTTTGACTTAAAGATACCCCATGGATTTGAAATTATTAATTATATTTACTGAGACACAGTAAAATTTTTGCCCATAGGGGGGAAGTCAAATGCGATTGAACTTCAGCACCAAAAAGTTATAGCCTAGTTACATTCAGTAGCTCTCATAAGGTCATGTAATAATAGCAATTAATAACAGGCTCATATTAAATATTCCCCAGAGTGTGTGTGTGT